TAATATCGTGAATGTGTAGCCATGACTAAATGCGATGTATTATTAATATTATTTCACTTTTACCAGCGGAATTATAATAAAAACTTGACGCTGCCGATAATGAATTTCACTTTCTTCTGAATGGAATGTTGTGATACCTTTATAAATTCAGATCATTAGAAATAATCTAATTCATTCATATATTCGATGGTATATGTTATTATGTTTTTATGTGACTTGATAAAAATTCAGGCCAGAGAAGAAAGTGAACAGTGAAGTTATATGGTTTCAGTAAAGCAATCGATGTTAATTTTAGCCACATTTCAACATATCAACTTATGAGACTTATACTATTGAACAAAAATTAGCGACACAAACCTGTAATCCACTTGAATTATCTTCTGAACCAATTATACAGCAACTCATTGGTGCTACATAGCATCAATTGATCTTTTTGCAGAATCCAAAAACAAAAATTACAAATCAACAAAACTTTCTTCAGTTCTGAAGACGGAAGCAGGTTTCAGCCTTCGAAACGTTGAAAGAGGTATATATAACTCTTTTTTGTCAGGCAAAATTGAGAAAGGTGTAAATAACCAAAGAATGTCGATGAAAACTCTGATTTTTTTCAGGGACAAAACCCAAGCACTCCAGGAAAATTCTTAAGGCACTCTAATAGCGGTGCCTATGCGAAAGTAGCGGTTCACGTTGAATTCTAATCGCTGGAGATGGAATCCATTTGAGATAGCGTTCTCAGGAAGTTTATTTCACATAAACACAGTTGTCCAAATGAAATAGTTCGCAAACAGTGAAGGTCGAGGTGTACTGAGTTGAACCCAAAGTCCGTCGCGTATTTCTGATATGTACCGCTCTTGATGAAATCAAATGACCATGATTGTGCCAAGACATATTGATGTCTATTTCAACACTCAACAAACTTATCGAAGCAGATAGAGAATTTGTCTGTCCTGTCATTATTATATCCGGTTCGGAGAAATTTATCTTTTTAGAGAAAACTGATGCATGGGTTCTCGTGGTATTGAATTGAATATTTGACTTGCAGAGAACTTTCTTTCAGGAAGCTGGAAAGCCATACATAAAAATGATTCGACAAGCCATAGCATTGACGTTTGGCCAGCAAAATCTCATGCATCACATGATCAAAAGCCTTAGAAATAACAAGCGCAACAGGTCTAGATTCTCCATGTTTCTCGATTGCGTTATTTCAAATATGGGTGACATACGATAGAAAGTCGCCGGTTGATCTTTGTTTCTGAAAGCCATATTGATGATCGCTCAAGTTTGTCTAAGCCTTCCAAATATTCAAGGATATGGTAGTTTATGGCTTTCTTCATGATTTTCGATATCACTGGTGGCAAAGCGGCTGGTCTATAGTCATTGTCCTTTTTGGGGATAGAATGACAAGAGCAATCTTTCATCAAGAATGAAAAACCTTTTTCTTGTAAGACATGTTGAAAAGTCTACAAAATACTGTTGACAGTTCCTTGGCCCTCTTTTTAAGTACGATGACGAACACTTCATCAGAATCAGACGCCTTGTTGATATCGAGCTGTTTCTAGGCATTGTTGATACATTATTATATGCCGGAAACAAAAATACACTCCAAACAGTGGAATGTAAAGGGAAAAGTGGCTCCAAAAAAGCAAAAACTGTTTTTCTTTTGGCTAAAAGCAAAAACTGTTTTTCTTTTGGCTGCAAAAGTGATGGCGACTGTTTTCTCATTTTGTTATCTTCAAAAAAGGAAAAACCATTACAGTAGCATACTACGCATAATTTTTTGACTAGCTGAAGGTAGAACTTGCGGAAAAACATCCACATCAGCAAAAAACATCCTGTTTCACCAAGATAATGTATCGTCTTGCACCTCAGCGGTTTCCATGGCGAAGATCTACAAATTACGGTTTGAACTGGTTGACCAACCGCCTACCTTACCCACCAGATCTAACACCAAGAGACTTCTTTTCGTTCTTCCATTTTGCAGAGAAAATACCACCTGATCCAGGTCTATACAGTTTATGTGTATTTGTATAAAAAGTTCAATCAAATGTCAAGGTTTTGTATAGGAATGTAGGCTTTCACGGCTGGCGCCAATGTTTTGACTGAAACAGTTTTAGTTGACACGTCAAGAAGAGTACTTCGACCACACCACTGAAGATGACTGCTACAGTTGCAGTACGTTTGGAGATTATGAACAAAGGAGACCATTACAAAACTCGGAAACAAAACAAAGTCAATGTTTTGCTCACTGTTTTCCCAGATTATCGTGGCGTAGTGCATCAGGAGTTCTTGGTACATGGTCATACGGTCAATTAGGAGTATAACTTCTATGAAATGCGCCGCTTGTGAGAAACAGTACGAAAAAAACGATCAGTATTGTGAAGAAACAATTCATGGCTTTTGCACCACGATAATGCACCTGCTCATTCGTCGTAGCTTTTTCGTAATTTATTGGCTGAAAACGACATCATGCCTCAGCCACCTTATTTACCAGATTTTGCCCTCTTGAGAATTTTTTCGGTTCCCAAAAATGAAGAGACCAATGAAAGGATGGTGTTTTGTGACGATTGAGGAGATAAAAAGCGAATCGCTGAGAGAGATCAAGGACTTACCAAAAAGTGCATATCAGAACTATTTCAAGGGGACTGAGGGGGACTTCTTTAGAGGGGACAAAATAGAAATAGATGGATCATTTATCACCAATTTCCCGAATGCTGCTCCACGAAATTAGATATGTACTTGTCCAGCCCATCTCAAATTGTGGTTATCACTATCTATTTCAACAATATCAACACCTTTAATTGAAGTAAAATCAACGATTTAAACAGTCAATCACTGTGAAACGAAACCCACATCAGCATCGAAGTCCAATGCAGTCGATTCTATCCGGATGCAAAAGCTACAATTTCACGGCCAATGCTTAGCCGCTGGACCAAATTAGTTGCAATCAAACCGTTCCTTCCGGGTATTCCAGTCGAGATAGTGAAGAGAAAGTAAAAGGCCGCTTCAAGAAAGTTCGCTTATTGTACATAAAGCTTTTTCACAAGGTCACCGTAACTAAATAGACTAATTACTGTATGTGATGCCAGCCTGATAGATAGATGTTTTTTTTGAATTTTTATCGCATTCTTTCCGGCGAAAAAGGATTTCCATTCAATGGGCGCTTTGGAGATTCCTCCAAATGTAAACTTCATCGGGTTTTTTTCGGCCTTGCGAACATTTCAATGGTTTTCCACTAGGAGAAGGAAATATTAGGAGCAGATAGTTACTGGTTCACAGATGGATCAAAAACACCTTTCGCGGTTCTGGTGCAGGTATATTCAGTCGCAGATCCAGGACAGAGACATCAACCTGCCTAGAAACCTACGCGACTATATTTCAAGTGGAATTTTACGCTATTGAATTGTGTGCTGAGAGATTGGAAAAATCTTACCTCCGAAGAGAATGAACGAAATCTCGAATTTCAGGAAGGACAAAAACCAAGATAAATACATCTCAGTTTCATACCACCAATATACGAGGAACTTTCGAAAGATTTTCAAGGAACTAGGTATGAAGGTGATTTTTAAAACAAGTCATACACTACAGATCCTTTTGGGAAGTCCAAAAGACAAAGTCGAGAATTCGGAAAAGTCTGGAACTTACGAAATTGAATGCAAGGACTGCGATGCAAAATATTATGGACAGACAAAAAGATCTATTATAAGGAACACATAGCACACTTAAAATATGGAAGACCTGAAAAATCAGCAGTCGCTCATCATATTTTGCAACAAAACTATTCCATAGACTTCAGTTATTAAGATTAGTTAGATAAGTTAACAACAACAGGCAACTAGATGCCTATGAGGGTGTAGAAATAAGTAAACACAATAATATTATGAATAACGATGACGGACCTGTTGGGGTAGCTTGATCCTTGTTCTGTACGTTTTGTTTGATTCTGTTTTCTAGCTTATCTATTGTCTATTGGGTGTATCCGTTTTCGTTCGCTATTTGGTATATGATTTTCCAACAACACAACAACACACAACAACAAAACAACACAACGATGGACAGCATTTACGTACGTAGGACACCAAACCAAAAAACTAACAAACATCTTCAAACTACTGAACATCAACATCACATACAAGCCGAACACGAAGATAACACAAAAAATAAACAACTATGAAAAAGAAGAAGACAAAGACCAAAACGGGATATACAGTATACAATGCTCGGACTGCAAAAAATTCTATATCGGCCAAACCAAGAAAAAACTGATCCAAAGATACAATGAGCACAAAAAGGCATACATAAATCCAACAGCATATAAATCAAACCTTGCAACACACGCCATACAAAACAAACATAATTTTCCCCCACCAGAAAACATAAAACTAATAAAACAAATCAACAAGGGAAACCGCATGGACATTTGGGAAAACTTGAACATCCATAAATTCAACAGTGATAAATCACTTATCGAGGAACAAGTACAAATCAAAACACAACAAGATCTCACATTCAATATATTAAACAAAACCATACACATTCCTAGAGAAGATCTAACACGAAGAAGAGTACCTGATGCAGAACAAATACAGGCAAATTTACCTAAAGTACCTGAAATACCTGAGTTGAGACGCTCTGACCGTATCTTTATTTACTTGAAAAACTAATTTATTTACAATGGAAAATACATTGTCACATTACAAATAAAATAATATCAATATGAAAAAAATATAGAAATTCTGATTAAAAATACAAATGTATTTTATGCGATAAGTTTGTGATGAAACGAGCAGAAAAACTCTTTTGCACTAGTGGGACAACATTCTCAAATACCTATTGATTCATTTCCAATTTTATTTTTGTTTATGTGAACGCTTGAGCAGATTTTCTTGAAGGAAGTGCAGAAATCTGTAAGACCGAGTGTGTTGTTCAATTCTTCCGAAATTTTGAAGGAGCTTAAGCTCTTGAATAATGTTCAACTCTTGATTTGAATAACAAAACACAAATAAATAAAACAATTTTATTAACAGAAAAAAAATAACAACAAGATTTGGTGAAGGATGACTGAGGATGAGATGACTGGAAATGGAATAAACTTAACCTAGAAGAAACCTAATGACTCCACCCGTGCCCTCCGTCATCGTGCTTCGGCACGTGGTGGTACACATGTTTGTAGACTGGAACATGTACAGGGTATGGTTTGTTAACGTACACGGGGTGATGTTTCTCCACCTCGATTTTGTACGGTTTATCCACGTACACTGGAACAAGTTTTTCTACGTTGATGGGAACCTTCTTCTCGATTTCCTGGGGTACGAGCTTGTAAATCGGCACCGCGATAGGGTGTGGTACCGGTACGTGGACTGCGTAAGGCTGTGGTACTGGAACTTTGATGACTTGAGGTACCGGGACTCCCACAGGGTGCGGTACTGGGACTCCTACCTTCTTAACCACCGGTATGTGAACGGGTTGAGTGTGCTCAATGGTTTTGGTGGGGATGTGATGGTGCTGTGCTTCAACTTTCGGTTGCCAGCCATGTTCAACGCCTCCGTATCCGCCATCTCCGCCGCCGAAGTCATGGCCGCCTCCAAAGTCTTGTCCGCCGCCAAGGTCGTGTCCACCTCCAACGTCGTGGCCGCCGCCAAGGTCGTGGCCGCCTCCTAGATCCTGACCTCCTCCGTAGCCGTGGCCGCCTTCTGCGTAGCTAGAACTGGCGTATCCCAGGTAGAGGACAAAGACAATGCATGCGCCCTGAAACGTTTAATGGACAATATCAAACCAAGTCAGTTGTTGAGATGAAAGTATAAATGACACAATGGCGCAGTTGGTAGGATAGATGAATAATTTTATAATCAGTCTGACTGGAATAACACCAGAGAATTTGACGATACATGTTTTGTTGCATTCGTTGTTCAATTATTCGATAACATCGATTAGGATTGAACAGAAGTAGAAAGTGAGAACTTTGGTTATCCTTTGACAATTCGTGTGCCATGAAAGGGTAATGGACATTGTTGAACCAAATTGGTTGTTGAAACATTGTAAACAAGTAAAACATTGTCAGGAATTTATGACGAAATACTTCATTTCTTTAGTGTGAAAAATGGCGCAGTTGGTAGGATTGATTATAATATTTAATATTATTTCAAATTTCTCCAAAAAATATATGAGCAATGTATTTGTTTTGTTTTACCATATTGGTATAGATATGTAATCATGATTATTATTATTTTTGAAAGAGAGTTCAACTTTCACTCTTATTAGTTTCTATTCACTCGTCTATGGTAACAACAAATGTAAAGTATAGTGGTAAGTACTACATTAGATATAATTGACAAAAAAACTGAGCTGTTCGTCATAGTAAATGCTATTTTGAAATATAAATTGACACTGAAGAAGCTATAGCAACCGATACTGATCTAATGAACTTTTTGGATTCCTGGTCAATTAACTGTCCAAAAACAAGTTGTTTCAAGTGATTTATTATTAACTATATAATACGAAATGTATGTATTATATCAACTATTAGTAGACACCTACAATTAAAAAATGACACGATAACTATGAATTTCTGCTTGTTTGCATGATTACAATATTTTGTATGGTACTTCTTGTTTGCCAAAAATCCCAACAACTTTTTCAGATAACCTCAACAACACTAAAAGAGAAATCTAATAACAGAAATTTGATGAACAGAAAACAAGAAGAGGGCGCGTTTTTTTTTCTATTGCTATCGATAGTTTTTTCATCATCTTCTCTATCTGGAGCATCCTAATAAGAAATTGAAGCATATATTATCGTATATGGTTTTTATATACACATTTTTGCTTATTGAAAATTCAAAATTCTGGATGAGTAGATAAATGACAAGTTGAAACACATTCTGTTTTGTAATATTGTCGATTAAATCTTGTTGAACAACCATACAAATCATAAAATATTGTGATGCAGTAGAAAAATTACTCTACTACGAAATACATCTAAATTATGAATTGAGATACGATTTTTTCGAAACCGGTGACGTCAGCAAAAACTGATCTGTATATTTTTTGTGAAGAACGCTATGATGAACAATATAACAATACATTTGAAAACAGAAAAATTGTTTCATTTGAAAATGACAACAAAAAAAATATGAGGTCTCATTTGTCTTTTTTCGCACTGTACATCACTTTCGATGGCTTTTCTAATGACTCGCGATCTAGTAATCGTACACAATCACATTATAATTTCCTCGATTCCGTTTCGCTTTCAGTTCCGCAAATGCATATTTAATAACCGTCTGGTACTTACAGTGGACCTCATTTTGCGTCGCTTGATTTCTGAGATGAACACGTTTGAGAAGTGAACGAGACTGATGTTCGATTTGACGGGCAATCTCTTTTTATAGCGGCATTAGGTGGGGTCGACTTGCTGGTGAAAGCTTTCTTCTAATACGGCCGACAATTAACAAAAATATGTAACAGCCTTTGTGCAAAGAGAAAAAAGCATTAGAAGGTTTGTCTCGAGGGAAGGTTTTTTGATCCTCAGACTGGCAGAGCAAATGAGGAGCGAGGTCAATGATCTTCTTTCTTATCAACATGGTTTCAGTTTCGTTTCAAAAATGACCATTATTATACAATTTATTTTTCTAAGGATAGAACACAAGTACTTCACGAAAATCCTTGAGACGCTCTAAGAGCGGTGCCTGTGCTGAAGTAGCGACTCACGTTGGATTTGAATCTCTGGAGATTAAATTCATTAATAATAATAATAAATCTACTTTATCCATCATAATATACAATAGAATACATAGCATTGACAGTAAGATACTATTACGATGAATGATGTATTGGCGGGGGTTCAGCCTGAGCTGTTTTTCAACCCTACCATGAGAAAGGGAGTGTCTACAAGTATAATCGTAATCATAATACAGAAATATATGAAGGTAAATGAACAGATGTTTGTGGTTATCAAGATTGTCAGTCCGAATTTCCTTTAAATTTGATTTTCAATCTTTTCTTGAAATTCTGTTGACTGAACGATTTATATTCATTTGGCAATCGATTATAGTGCCTGGCGGCATTATAAGAAAAACTGCAAGTATAAATGGAACTGCGATGCTTTGGGATTACTAATAGTATAATCAACAAGTTCAAAACCATGAAAAATAGAGATAAAGGTCCTAAAAATATGAGCGATAGCTCATTCGATTCGGAATCACCTCTAGAGAAATGATTTTGAATAATTTTGGTGCAGGTAAAAAATTGCAATTGTTATTAACAAAATAAAAAAAAAATGGTATTTAGTGTTTCGTTAATAACTCAAAAAATATCAAAATTTAAGCAATTTTGAAAAAAGCTCGTTGAAGAGGAGGAAATTTCCGATGAAAAAGTCTCGACTCCCGAAACTCTATCTCAATTATTTATAATAATAATTTGACTTTGAAAATAGGGTTCCGCGCAGCTGTTACGGCATAAACGCGCTGCCACTAAAGGGAGTTTATCAAAAGAAATAATTTTTTTATAACATTAAATGTCATTTTGAAAATTTGAAAAAAATCTAGTATCTTCTCAACACTTGAATGAATCGAGTCCCGTAGAAAAAAATGTTTTATCACCATTTTTTTTAAAATTCATAATCAACACTTTTGAATAGTTTGGCAAAACAAATTTATTTCAGTTATTATTTAATTGTTTATTAGTTTTATCGGAAATTTCCTCTTTAACGAGCTTTTTTCAAAATTGCTTCAATATTAATTTTTTCTGAGTTATTAACGAAAAACTAAATACCATTTTTTTAAATCGTATTCTGTTAATAACAATTGCAATTTTTTACCTGCACCAAAATCCTTCAAAAACATTTTTCTAGAGGTGATTCCGAATCGCTCATATTTTTAGGACCTTTATCTCTTTTTTTTATGCTTTTGAACTTGTTGATTAGACTATACGATATTTTTATGTCGCGTCCGAGAGTTGGGTATGCCTGAAAACAACTTCAATCTCTCACAAATATAAGCTGGTTTTCGTGTCACAAGGGTTTTGTGGGTAACTGTGAGGGGGTGTAGTTTTCTCATATTCTGCATTGAAAGCCAACCTGATTTTTTCACTTTGTGGCTAATGTGGTCAAATTTGCGACATCTCTTGAGTACCTTATGCCAACATTTTGTATCCTCTGTAGACGGACGGAATCGCATAGGCGTAAGGAAGGTCCATAAACGCTGTCACAATATGATAGCTTTGAAAAAACGAGACTTTCGCATGTCACCTTCATTTTTGTAGAAAGGTCACGATTTGGATACAATTGTCTGAGATTATTATATAATACCTTACATAAGTTGCTGACATGTCCTGAAAATCTCAGCTTACTGTCTAGATACAAACCTAGATTCCGGTACTCCTTGACCTGAGGGAGGTAGTCATTTTCAATTTTGATTCTTATCTGTCCACTGGCTGAATTTCTGCAAGCCGTGCAACCCAAAATCATGAAAGAAAACTTTTTCCCATTGAGCTTCAAAATGTGTGCCGTAGACAAGTCCAACAATGACTGAAGATCTTGGTTGATTAAAATTTCTGAGATAGTTATGGAGGTCAAGTTGAAAGTGGAGTATATTTGTGTGTCGTCAGCGTAATGGTGTACTTAACTATTCTGTATGTATTTATGGAAATCTGATATATAAATACTGAATAGCAAGGGACCTAAGATTGAACCCTGTGGTACTCCATATGCAACACACAATGCTTCAGATCTATCGTTGTCTATCACTACCCTTTGTGTGCGATTATTTAGAAAATCTCGTATGAATTCAACAGAATCAGTTGAAAAACCAAAAAATTGAAGCTTTGTACAAATAATGTGATGATCTAAGGTATCAAAAGCTTCACTATAGTCAAGAAGGACCAGGCAGGTAAGGTTTTTTTCATCACTAAGTTTCATTATATCATCTGTGATTTTCAACACGGCTGTTGTGGTGCTATGATTTTGTAGAGACCCAAATTGTACATTAGAGATTCAATATATCTTCCGAAAAAAAATCATCAATTTTCTTGGAAACATACTATTTTCGATACAAGTAGAAAAAACTTCGTTTTGTGGGTTGATTAGAATAGTCACACCAGCCACCTCGTCTTCCAGATTTGTAAGTGTTTGTAAGTTTTTCCAGTTGTTCTGACCCAGAGCAACCTAAATCTAACTTCATCTCGGTAAACAAATTACTACGGGTTGAAACAATATTGTACAAAGTCAATGTCCTAGTTAAAGGATAATTATTGCTATTCGCTGCCTGAACTTGTTTTTTTATCGCAAGATTTATATCTAACGATAACCGCGATGGGAATGTGTATTATTAAATCTAATAAAACTTCTGAAGAAATACTTGTGTTCAGTGTGTTACGTCTGACTCTAATAATAATGATGATTTTGGTCCCGTTTTAATGATTGTGAGGATACTTTTAGTAGTCGTTCTGGTTTAGTTGTAGATTTGATTGTCTGTAAGATGTTTGCTTAGTTCGTACATATATGAATCACACTCAGCTGAAATATTTTTTCATTTATTGAAGTTGATAGAAATAGTGTTCCTCAAGGTACACATTGATGGCCACAGGTGAGAGTCAGAATGAAGTAGAAAACCAAAACATTTCCTTCTCAAAAATTATTTTCTCTTAAAAATATACCCCTTTCAGTTCAGAACATTTATTTGTATTGAAGATCAATTCCGAATATGATTCATGAATTATCAAGGTTGAAAACTGTTTTACTCAAAATACCATCAATGGGCTGTCAAGTTCAAAAATAAATTGAGATTATATATATAATATTTCTCAAGCTAATATCAGTGTCATTGTTGAAAAATTGATAGGATGATTCACCCCTTCATTGGACTGGTAGGATAAGGAATTCGAAGCAAAACTGCTTAAAAGTACAATAAAAGTACAATAAACATTCTGTAATGAAAATGAATCCAAGGTTTGGGGGGCAAGAATGACCTAAGTCCACTGACTGCACTGAAAAAAATAAGGTGAATCAATCACTTGCAAAATAACCTTGATACGAGAGTGATGAATATCTACATATCTCAGGAACGACCTAATTGATTCTAGTAGCGCATTTGCTCTTTCATCTGCAGGAAAACCTGGAAAAACCTGCAGCACCACATCATCAGAAGATCTTGATCTCCTCTCTCTCATTAAACAAATTGTAGGGTGTCTTCAGAGGCTCTAATAAATTCAATACATCGCCAGAACACTTCGTTGTCACGACTATCGTCAAACTTAAACCAGTCCGTTTCTTCTTTGACCAAGGCCTAATAATGACCAAATCCAACGCCAGAACCACAGTGAACAATGACTGCATGAATATTATAATAGTGGTCTTCTGCTAGATTGAGGTGTTCATCTATTTCGAACCTATATGAATGAAATATGAAATTCATATCATTGCAATAAAAATTGTAACTTCTTATATCATGGTACTATGTACTATGTAAGTATTTTTTAATTTGAAAAGGTCTTTTTCTTATGGAGGTAGTTGTTTTGAAAGATTTTTTCTCAGTTTGTTACAGTTTTTACAGTAATTTTTTTCTTCCGTTTCCAAGTTTTCTATTTAATGCTGAAGAAGTAGAAAACTGAAAAGCTTCTTCCTCAGTTCTTGTTTGTAAATATGTACCAATAACCTAGTAGCCTTTTCTATATCTGGACTGCAAAAAGAGTGAAGAAAATGAAAGAAAGACCATTACACAATGAGATTGTATTAAAGAAAGTATCACATGCGTTAACGACTGTTTTTTTCCTTTCCATTCACGAGAAGATCACGAATCTTTTACCACAAAACATTTTAATGATTTACTTTCTTACAGCTACAAGATCGAGTCGATGCACTCATTTGTGAACTTGGCTTCGATAATTATACTTTCGATACAGTCACTGTTACTTTCTGTGGGTCAGATCGATTGATATCAGAGATTCTTCGCCTAATGGACATTCATTTTTCTTTGGCGTGAGAAGAGATAAAATGTTGAGATAATTAGAAAATGCTCAACTCTAAAAACAGTCAGAAATCAAAATCAATCTAATCGAGTATGTGCTAAAAAAATTAAAATTTGAATGTAAAATTCCAAACACTTATCCAATACACTGTGTACTAGTGCAGAGACTGTTGAACATAATTGAATGTTCGTCGTGGTATTAGCCAAGCGAGCAATTGTTTTCTGACAGGCATTTGCTATATCCTTGCGTGTAGCGATGAGATCATTGTTCGAAACTTCGAAGTCGAAATATATACGGCGTAAAAAAAGGCAGGTAATGAATTGAATCACATATTTTGTGGTGGAAAAAAAATCGACCTTGATGCAAAAGTGCACAATGAAAGTACAAAAT